GCTTCATTGCGAACCGCCTTCGCTTCAATACCGCCTTCGCATACGCCTTCATCATAGAGGCGCCTTCGCCTTCATTACCTGCCTTCGCGCCCTTCATTCGACAAAAAAACTGGCCTTCGCCCCTTCATCACGCGCTTTCGCCTTCATTACCGCCTTCGCCTTCGTAATAAACCCGCCTTCGCCTTCATCATCATCAACGCGCCTTTCGTCGCGCTCCACACACACCGCCTTCGCGCTTCGTCAGACTGTCAAACACGAGGCGAAGGCGGTGATGAAGGCGAAGGCGGTGATGAAGACGAAGTCGTATACGATGGCGGAGGCAGTGGAAATGACTGCCGCGGCAGATACGCGTGACGTTGGCCCCGCTCTCGAACTCCTTCGTTTGTTCGGTCGCGCATTTAGCGAATGACGCATGTCTGCTCTCAACTTCCTAGCGAAGTTCGTCTTGCATATTAATGAATTTCTGGCTGAAAGGAAGTTGCCGTACATTGTATAGGAAATATAAGTTTTGAATTGTGTATGCAAATTTAGAAATTCAGTGTTCTCTATAGTTCAAGGGGGGGAAATATACTTTTATATAAATAAAAAAGCATATATTTGTATTATTTTGCATTACTTATTTGGCGTTCTGTAATACTAAGTATGCAATCGGGCCATCAAATGCAAAGGATTATTTTTCTCAGACAGGTTGCCTTCTTGAATTGTAATTATTTCTATTTACGTCAAACGCACAACTCAGTGGTTATTTATTGTAAAATATAAAATATATACGTTTAGCTATTGCATAACTTTACCGGTTGTCTTTAACTCTGACAAGTAGCGTTTAAATCTAGAGAATTCCTTGTAGATAATTCCATGTATACGTTTTTATTTAATTTTTCTCTATTCTACCCTATTCAATGCCTTATTTCAAAATCTATTGAAGAATCCATTTGAAACAAAAAAAGTGATGCAACCCTTCCTCGTATCACGTTTTATTGACACTTTGCGCCAAGACTTTTATATATTACTGTTGAGGTTCCGAGTGTTTGTTTTGCGTTGGGACTTTCATTGAGACTCCAACTACTTGCGAAGCAATTTCGTGTAATGTAAACTTTTCAGAAGGACCCACTTAAGCAATGGGATTGGTCTAACTGTCCTGTTGAAGTAGTAAGAACTCTCCTCTGGGCTGCAAACAGAGGAGTAGGACAGTAAGAGTCCCGACGGACCAATGCCTGGTGAGTGGGGGGGGGTCGTAGGGGGGTAGCAGAAGGATAGGGGGAGGGGGTGCCGCAACAGATGCGTCCACGTGCCCTGCGGAGCGAGCCCCCCCTCCCCCCACCCACTCCCCGCTCCTACTCAGATATCTTTGCACAGTGCACCGTTGAACCACTTGCACCTTTCTGTTAAAGCCATCACAACAACTCTTTACTTTTAAATAACATATCGTTGAGGAACATGAAAAATTACGCCTACATAAAATCTACATTTGTTAGTTAAGTGAACAGAATGATTGTTTTATCACTTCGAGTTTCCGGCACGGTAACTGCTATTGTCATTATTCTCGAAACCACGTATTTTTCCTTGGAGGATGGCGGTGAACTTTCCCAGCTGGATAGTGAAATTCGGCTCCTACCTTCATGTCGTCTTGGGGAGTTTTCTGCTTGCGAGACCCTGCCGGTATCGCCCACCGGCGAGGCAGCACACAAGTCGGGATAAGCTCTAAGCTTTCGACTGGTCTCCCGACTTTTACGGTAGTGTAGTGCATATGCATGGAAGAGTAAGTAAGGGATGGGGAAAATGCAAGCAAGATTAATGACAGATCAGGCGCAGTCCGTGACCCCTTTATTAGGGTAAAAATTACACAAGGTGTATCTAAGATTTTTTTCAACTTTGTGAAAATCACAGGGTTACGTTTTACATGATATTAAGTACATGTACTAACACACTAACAAAGGACCAGTTTTCTAAACCTCAAAAACTAAATTGCATTACAATATATTGTAAATTGTTTTCAAATTATTTATTTCCCTTATCCTTTATTTCTTTCTTTTTTATTCTCTCTCTTTATCTCTATCTCTCTCTTTTCTTTCTCCCTATCTCTCTTTTTCCTTCTTTTTCTCACCCTCTTTCTTTCCCTCTTTCTTCCCCCCTCTTTCTTTCTCCCTCCCCCCTCTGTCTGTCTCTCTCTCTCTCTCTCTCTCTCTCTCTCTCTCTCTCTCTCTAACTCTTTCACATCGCTTGGCCATTCCCTGAAGTTCGTCCGTAGATTGTTGCTGCAGCGGGCGCCCCTCGCGAGCACAGTGTTCCACTCGTCGCTGTCCGCGCGTCTCGCGGTGTCCGCGCGTTGCCCGAGCATCTTTCGGCGCCGCGCTTAATTGCCCTCCGCGCGAAGGCGCACGGCGCACAGCTCGCGCGCCCTGCCGCTGCCAGTTGTTTCGCGCGGCGCAGCTGCGCTGGGCCCTAATGACATTTCGGCGGCCGCGGGGCCGTTGCCCCCACTCCGCGAGAGGAGAATCCGGGAGAGGGGGGAGCGAGGCGCATTTCCCGGAGGTTGACCTCAGCCGAACAGATTTGCCGCCGGCTGAGTTCCATTTAAAGTGTTTCATACAAAAAAACTAGTTCAAATTCGAGATTTTTCAGAAGGCACCAGAAACGTCGTAACGTAGACGTAGTAATGAATGATGATTTTTTTCTCGTCTTCTATCTTTCAATGTGTTTGGCACTTGCCGAAAGGAAATGTCCTAGCAGACAATTTTGAGGAATAACATGGTGAAAATCTCAAAATATGGAAGTTTTGATGTCTTTCGTTGGTGAATGAAATCCTTCAATTTATTATGAAACGTCTGTCCTAATTGCGACATTCCAGACATCACCTCGTACGATCATTGTGTGTTGCCTCTCTATAGATGTCGATAATCGGATTGTGAGGTCCCTTTGAAACAGTACGCAAGATGCTTTTATCGTCGGAAAACTATATACCATTAACGTATTAAGTCTTGGTAATGATTTCCGATTAATTTCAGAAGTTAAACACGAAATATGGAATTTAAATACTTATAATTTGTAATATTTGTCAATGTTTTCCGTCACATTAATTCTACTAAAATACAAAAAAACCTTCTCGGAATTGGGGACAATTGTGGCAGTTTAATGACCTGTCTACGTGCTTTCACTTCTCCACGCGGAACTTTTTCCTTATTCGCTTTTGTATAATTTGTTCGATTTTCAGTAATCAATAGACGTTTCGCGCCCTGGATATTTTCTCTCGCGTTGGTTGCGTCTTGTGCCTGGCTGCAGACGAGGGACTTTAAGAGTCGATAGCACAGTAGAAAATTTTCAAAATGCGAATTCTTTTAGATACAATTTTGGTTGTTTCTTTTCGTCACAATTTGTTATCAGTGTCTGCGGTGATATAGAAGAGGTTCTTTGTGTAAAATTATTGTGACTTGTTGTAAATTCTTGAAATTAACTTATTAAGATTATGAAATGTATTTACAAGGCTAATTAAATGGAAGAAAACAGACGTATTTCATTTCAATAGATGCTGCCCTTTTTTAAATATATCAAAAATTGATCACCAGTAATTGTAATTACATCAATCTATCACTATTATCGTAGTTTTGTAATCCTTTTCTATTTCTGTAGTGTACATATGCATCAACTTACTCGGGCGAAGTACTGAGCTCTCCTTCGCTCACCTTTAATTGTGTAATCATTTTTAACTTCACAAATAATTAGTTAAAATTTGGCGTTGAATAAGGAGTCGGCTTTATGGAATATATCGAGATGGAAATGTTCCCACCAAATGTTTTTTTTACTTGCATGTGCATAAATACTATATACATAATTTTTGACACAAGTTGCTATATTTCAAAGAAAAATACCTTATGTAATCTGCCAATTTTAATAGTTACACTTTTTGTTGCAGGTGCAATGCTGGGGTCTGGATACAAAATAGGTATGTATTATTATATCAATGTTAATATAATTTATAATTTCAATTTTATTAATTATGTTAGTAATTAATTCGATCTATTCTAAATGATATACTGCATTATTTTTATCGTCTTCTAGTGCATCAAAAACCTCAGTAGTTGTTAACTGTATTCGGCTTCTTTTAACCGCAATATTTTAGGTAGTTAACATCATATATCTTTGAACAACGCAATGGAAGTTTGATTAATTGTGATTTGTTCAGAGTATTAAGTTAAGATGAACACCAGTGTTTATTGACTTTTTATTCTACATTAAAGTACATCAAGCAATTCATTAGGTATGAGTGGTATCGCCATGAAAGAATTCTGTTTGCCTATCGAATTTTGATGATGAAGTAAATGTGAACCTGTGAATCGGGAACATGCTTTTAATTCTTGTCGGGAAATCTGTGAATTGAGCTACCCTAAATTGTGGAGTATATTTTATTTGGTTGATCCACGAGTTGAATTGGCTCGAAATCTTGTGCAAATATTTACATACATAATTCCATTCATTGCCAACTGTAAATTTAAACTAATCACGGGGCCCTTGTAATTGTTCTGAGGCATTGATTTTGAATGACGTAACACCGATAGTGAGTGCAGCGCTCACTATCGACTAACGGAGAGTTAAGATTTATCTCGTCGATAATTTTTGATTGATGACGAAAATCTCTATCACCTCGGCATTATGAAGCTGGTACACCATTATCCATGCTTAGTTACTAATACAATGTTAAAATTAAATAAATTATTTATCACGCGACTATTCAAGGAAATATAATTATAATACCACACTCTACAAAGAAATAATTTGAAATGAGATCACGGAATGTCTCTGTCATTTGCACGATAATTTTTTTTCTTTCATTTCATGTTTTGCTACAACTTGGTGACTTCCTGTAGGCTAAACTAAAAATTGGATTTGCGGAAACAACAGTTGCGAAACTGACGATAAAAATAAAATATTCCATCTTCCTTGCGTTTTAACTAAATTTCATCCGCGTTGTGAATATTAAAGTTGACCTTCTAGATTTTTGAGTCGGTAATTACACCTTTCGTGCCGAAGATTTTGGAGGAAAATGTTCATGTAAAGAAGGTAATTTTGTATCATAAAACCTTTTCCGCGAGGGCAAAAATGACCGACGTAGTATATAAGGTTGTAAATTTACTTACCATATTCATGAGGGTAACAGAGAATCTGGAGGTTGAATTTTGGATTTTGCTTCTTGAAAATACATGCACTAAAATTAAACATAATGTGTAACTTTCTTCCAGATCTATTCGTTTTAATAGATAAATAATAAACATTTTAGTGAAGGTAAAAGTTCTGAAAGTACGTGTGAAACCGGCTGCTGAGGTGGCTCAGGGCATCAACTAATGTCACTGCAGTGCCTGTGTTCGGGAGGCCTTAGGAGTCGAGTTCTGACGGAAGCAAGTGCTGGATTTTTGACAGTAACTAAATAAGTTAGTGGTAGGTAAATATGTAGCTCAATAGCATATATACGTTTTAGTTCGAGGGAAAAAATACCGTGCTTTTATAGCCATTATTCAAGGAAATTGTAATTATATTTTTTTATTCGTGTGTTATATTTTCGTATTCGTTTTTATTTGTGTATTATAAAAAATGTACTAACTAAAACTCATAGCACTGTCAATATTCGTCCAAAGAAAGAGCATTATCACGATATATTCTGAAGGTGAATTTTTAATTGCTACTTCTACTTTTTACTCTTCACCATCCTCTGTTTTATTAATTAACATTTATCTGAACAAGTTCTCACATTTTGCACTAACGTCTTTGAATATTCTTAAGCCTCGTAACCCTTAACAATGCTTTAATGATTTTTGTGATAGATTTGAAAAGGATCCCAAGAAAAGCGCCAATGGGTGACTTTATTTAAATTCTTGTTGTTATTCACCTTTTATAGTATTTACTTATTATTTAATTTTTGAAATATATTGTAAATATTTGTTGAAAAAATTTTTTTTAATTATACACATTATGCCTTTGTTTTTACTTCACCAAGATTTAAATAATTATAAGTCGCTGATTAATGAGCATTGTACTTTTGCTACATACATTAATGGTTGTAAGCAAATACATGTTGCGTTCTGCTTCGGTTTGGTAATACTTTGATAATTACCTTGATTCTGTAATTAATGTCATAAGAGCATGTATTTATTCCTCGATGCTCTTTTTAATAAAGTAATAAAAATATTTTTTTAAAAATATTGCTTGAGCGACTCCTGCCAGTGCGCCCGCCCCTCTGACATTTCCCCCAAATGCCAGACGGGCTGTCTGGCCTAGCATTAAGCGCGTTCGCAACCCCTGCTCCCGACGCAATGCCCGTTCAAGGCCTTGAACCAGCGTTATCGGACGCCGCCAATTCAGCCGCCGTTACTCAAGGTCCGCATGCCACTGCTGCGCGCATGCCGCAGGGAGGTTTGGACCGGTCGATAGAGGGGCTTGCTTGGTCTAAGCGACGGCGCTCTTTTGTCTTTAAATTTTGATGCGCTACAACAGCACATACTTTCTCGCATTTCTAACTTTTGTAATTTCCGAATATGCAGCTGCAATGAAACATACGCCAGATTTTTCCAGCGAGGTTCGCCATAGACCTAATTGACCTTGCGAGGATTTTCCCCAACCAGCTATTTCCCACTAGCGGAGCGCCGCCCTAGACGAGACACGCTCTAATCTGCCGACTGGTCTCCTCATAATAGTGATAGTGTAGAGCATGTGAGAGTAAGAGGTGAAGAATACAAAGAATAGGAAGGAAAGCAAGGACGTGGTCCGTCGCCTATTGTTAGGATACTGTTCCGGCAATCGCCTGATGTTGATAGGGGAAATCACGGGAAATGACCAATCAGAACATCCGTCTGTTACAATTCTCCTCAAAACAGCGGTGAATTCTACCTAGATCTCTAGCGAGTGTCAAACATATTTGAAACTCACATTTAGGGCCTCCCGGCCAGACGTACTGCAGTGACAACAGCTGATACCGTGAGGCACATAAGACAGTAACTATTTTCGTGGAAACCGCACTTTAGGAAGATGCAGTCTGTTGTAAGAGCCAAGGGTTCACTGAGGGCTTCCCAGAATGCATCATACTCCTTGTACCGTCTCTTCTCGCTCCTCGCTTTGTTCTCACTCCTCTCCCCTCCTCCATCTTCCTTTTGCATCACTCTTCTCTCCTGTATTGTCTCTCTCTCTCTCTCTCTCTCTCTCTCTCTCTCTCTCTCTCTCGCTTTCTTTCTCTCGCTTTCTCTCTCTCGCTCTCTGTCTCTCTCTCTCTGGGGGATTTCCCGCTCAGCAGCATGTCGAGGTTGCAGGCAGGGCGTCACACGTCTCGTGACGTTACTTCCGGCAACGCCACAAAGGCCCGCGTCCTCGCGTGCCGGGGGAGGGGGACGAGGACGTGGCAGCCTCCGGAGAGCGAGCTGTCGATACACGGCCGAGCGTCGAACGGCGAGGGACGTGCAGCGGGAGCACACTGGCCCCTGTAGTCCTGGCGCTAAGCCCAGAGGCAGGAAATGGAATGTTGTGATAACCGGGCCAATATTATTCTTATTAGGCCTATAATCAGCATATAACAGCAACGGTGAAAGTTTATAAACAGAAGCGATAACCATGGTTTATAACCAAACAAATTTTTGATTGTGTTATTGTATGTTAGTCATTCAATGCTTTTTGTAAAGTAATCTTCTTATAAGACAATAGGACGAAACTGTAAATATAGTTTTATTGAATAAGTTTACTTATTCGCTATCTTTACAGGCTACCCACTGGATTATTTTTTACGAACGACGGGATGTAAAATCTTTAACATTCTTCAGCAATTACTAGTTGCTTTTTGTTACTCTTTTTCTTTGCGTGCGTAGAATAGTGCATTTTTATGAAAATGGTTATTAATATAGACACATCAGATTTACTACTCGTAAAATGACACATGATTGCCGTGGTTTACTCTTAAGTATACATATATTTGGGTTCAATTTCTATTATCTTTTCACTAATGTGTAAACCATCAAAACTAGTTCTAGTGGTAGGTGGGGTGGATTAGTGGCGAATAAGATGCATCTGCAGCATCGCTAAGAGGTCCTAGGTTCCGAGTACCGACGGTGACGGATTTTAGACACTCAACTTCTCATCGAATTTAACCGGTCTTCAGGAGATTTCTACTGGCCGGATGGTTGAAGAGTTTCATGTTTTACCCTATCAATACGAAACAAATACTGAAGCGGGACCCTAGCAACAAAGCCATGGACTTCACGCCGTTTTCCTTTTCTTATTTTTGTTCCTTTATCTCGCCTTGCACTCTCACATTCACTCTTACATGTACATTTCGTTCCCATTCTATGCATTCAGTGGATAGCGTGCAGCTTCTCTTGGTCTGGACTATCCCATGAGGCACCTGAAGATGGAAAACCCTCGTAACTCGACGTGTATGTCAGTGCCGTATCTCACGTTCCAGCCTCAGAGAAATGCAGCCACCTCTCTGAATGTAACGTGCACTTCACGTGTGCTATTAATGACCTAAGTAGTTGACTTGCCGAGTCGCATACTCACGCGCTCGCTCGCACAACCACAAGTAGAGCAGCTACCCTGCGCGCCTCGAGATATTGCGTGGGGGAAACAGGCGCCGTAGGTGGCAGACACCTCAGGGCTCTGGGGCTGACGGCGACATTACACAATTTCCCGTCGCGCTGCGGCCCAGCGCTTTGCAGCTGCCCCGCTCCTCCCGCCGCCTCCTCCTCCTCCTCCTCCTCTGTCTCCTCCTCCTCCTGCTTCTTCTTTCTTTGATCCGTCCCGCGAAGAGCGAAGAGGACGTCGGCGGTTGTGCACGCGGGACCTGGGGCGTGCATCTAGGAAGCGCCGGGAGGCGACAGCCACTGACTAGACGGCGGCGGCGGCGACGACGGCTTGTTGGAGGCGGTTGTGGGAGGCAGCGACGCCGTTTTGAATCTAATTCTCCTGTCAGAAGTTGGGAGCTTGACACATTGAAAGAGGACACACGTAGGATGGACCTTGGGGGTGTATTAATTGTTCATATTTAAGAATTAAAATGATATAACATAATATTTGTTTAACTGGAAGTGAATATAAATTGATACCACTAATATATCAAATATGTTATGAAAAAATTTGAGTGATCAAATCGTTACTTTATATACATTTTGAAAAGGCTATTCATGGTTGTGATATGCCTTTTCGTAGTACTCGTGCACATTAAATGTTCTGATTGGAAATGAAACATTTGGCAAACTTATTGCTTTCGTTTGTCTTAGAAGTAAAGTAAACACCGTCTAGTAGTCGTTAGTAAACTATTAGCAAAGGATTCGATTCCTGGCCTGTCCGTCTAATATTTTGTACAATCTCTATTACATATTAATGATTCTTAACGATTTGCTCCTTATTTCACGTCGAAATAGGTATTTATACGTAACTTGTACAGAATTACTGTTTTTGGTGTACGAATTAAATGTTTCCAGACGAGTCAAGGATAGGAACTGTTCCGAATGTTTGAACACCTCACACGTTCATACGAGTTGTGTACATGTGAAGCTAGTTCATGGAAACTCACTACCATGTAACCCGGGGGTATCCCATTTTTATGATGAGCGATAGCAGCCTTACATACTCATATCGTCGCAGTGTTTTATTTCTTTGGCTGTTGGTACGTGTTTCGTAACACATTACTTTACAGTATGTACGCAGAAAAATTCATCTAATAAAGAGTAAACTTAAGTTCTGGTTTCCGATCGTTAGGTAAAGTACTTTTATTTACGCACCAAGGATGATATAATGTTCTAATGACTTGAGTGGCGAAAAAAAGCCCTCCCCAAAGGCCTTTGGGGTGTTCGTCGTCGCTGCATTATTAGAATCAATTAACGCTTATGGTACATACTAGATTTAATTTTTTAAAATCAATTTTATTAACTCACATTTATGTATTTAGTAATGAACTAGATGTTACCTTGACTAGGTTTGTCATTTCATATTTCACTCCCATAATTCCCTTTCATAATTGTCTCCTTAAGATAACATGTAGCATCATTCAACTGTTTTCATATTTCTCTCGTAACCATTGTCCTCATGAGCCAGGTAATATAGTTGCAGCGTATATCGAGGTTCACATGGGAGGAAATATCAAGCAATGAGGTAACAGTGAAAAATAAATATGATTTTCTTACTCACGGAGACCAAGAATCGCGTTGTGTCTCGCGGCTTGCGCAAAGAACTGTGACGCATGTACTGCCCCTTCCTCTTTGACCTTTTTCGCTTTGGAGGTTGGAGAGTCTATCATATTTTATTTAGTCGTACGCGTCTCTCAAAGTGTTCTTTTGGTACGCGACCCGCGAAGTGCTACTTATCGGTATACAACCTGCAAAGTGTTATTATTCGGTATGCGATCAGCAAAGTGGTACTTATCGGTGCACGACAGAAAGAGAAAGTTGTCTGTATGCGACCCGCAAATGAATACTTTGCCATAAGGAAATTGCAAAGTTCAATTTTTAAATCAATAAACAGTGAATGCGCCGGTCAGATGGCCGAGATCTGTAGGGCAGTAATACCGTAGCTGTCTCGGACCTGAAGATTGTGGGTTCGAGTACCGCCTCGGGCATGGGCGTATTTGTGTATGTTTCTATGTGTATACTGTCCTTTCATCCCTCACCACTACCACCACCACCACCACCATCATCATCTTCCACATCATCATCATTTCATCGTCCAGCCCCCCAGAGCTAGCAACCTCCGGGGATAAAAATCGAAATTTCGCGATAAGAGAGCTACATGCGTGGTCCAACTTCGCCTTTTACGCGAAAAAAGAAAACAAAACAAAAAAACAGTCAAAGTAAGGTGTTCGTGCTAGAGATGTAAAAGAGGCGGTTTGCTCCCTCCGGAAGGGAAACAGACGTCTAGGCGCAAGCAATCTCCCCCCCCCCCAACCGCTTCCTATGTTCACCCCCGGGGCGGCGGCGCGCAGGTTGGTGCCTCTGCAGCGTAAACAGATTGGGGTGGGGGAGAGAGCGCGTCGTGTACGTGATGGTGCACGGACGAGTACGTGGAGGGCGGCGCGACGCGCCAGGGGCGACTCCCGCAGGAGCATCTGCATTGCGCGCATGCTGGGGCGGGGGGAGGTAAAGAGACACTCGACTTGCGAAGAAACGTCCGTCGTATGACACGATTTTTTTTAAAATCTTCTGCAACTCTGTGCGACCGGTGGTGTAGCGGTGACGCCGCTTTCCATGGCCGTTTCGTCGCGGGTTACCCACTTAAAATGTATTGAGCACAAAGCGTATTCGAGACTGGTTTCTCAGACGCGACTGGTTTACCTTTATTTTCCATGGTTTCCATTCCTCTAATATTTTATCTCATTCTCACCACGTCGTCTTTATCATTAATCCAATCGAATCATTCATACAGCCGAAGAATTGCTTTAAGACTTAGTGAAACATTCTTATTTCTAATGATGTCATTGTCTATCGTCTGTAGCCGTAAAAACTGACCATCTATTGGGAGACATTTTAAAATACTAATAATTAATTTAATATATTAAATTGAAGTTTAGTACGTAAAATGTTTCTTTTTTGGCAGGATCGAGTTGAGTGTTTGATCAAGGACAATCGGTAGAAGCAAAATCACTCGCTATTGTTCCAGAAGGAATTATCTAATTTACTAAGTAAACATAGATTTTTCTACAATGGTATAAAAACAATTCTAATACAAATTATTACACAGTATTATTATCACACAATTC